CCTCTAATACAAGACTTTCCCATCTCGGCCCTCACTGGCCGAGCTGCCTTTCTCCACAAATCTACAAGCTTCGGCCTACCCGGTTTATCCAACACAGGGGACGGGCTCTTCCAAAAAGCGGCGCAAATTGAAGCTCTCTTCAGCAGCTTCGCGTGCATATGCGTGTCACTGCGATCGGCTGCAGCAGCGAGGAGCTACGCACGTTGCTAGATTTCCCCAAATTGGCTATTCCTGCCCGAAACTGTTTCAGGGCGCCGTCGCCTGGCGCGGTAGGCCCTCCCGTAGCTTCTGCTCCGTGGTGTAGCTCCACAACGCGAGACACCCGCAGGATGACCCGGGTATCGGCTTGTAGCTATGGGCAAGCCCTTTAATTCAAGCCGCGCAGCAAGCTCTACCTCTCAGCAGTAGACAAGGTACATCGTATCGCACGATCTCGCTCTCAATCAGATACTTCGCTCTCAATCGTGCGAATATGTTGTTCACGCTGTTTTACACTGCAGCAGCACGCATAGCAACAGATACACACGTTCAATCACGCGAAGAAAAAGGCCGATATACGTCGCAACTGATCGACAGCATAGACTAGACGCGCAGCACAAGCCGGCCGTACTTCCAAGCCTACCGCAAGCCATTAAGGTTAAGCGCAGCTTTGGACGCATGTGTATGCATATGGACAACGGCACCAAATCTTGATACAGCGCACACAGAAGTACGCGACAGCTTTCCTTTTCGCGCAACAACTATCTGCATGATGACACTACACAAAACACTCTACTGCTGTAGTCTGGTGCGTGTCCCTATCCATTACAACGAAAGCAGAGGGAGTTGCAGCCGCTGTCTTGCGCCCAGCACACCAATCTGGAAACTACTGCTTGCTCGACGGTGCACACTAAATAACATTTAGGGGGACTTTCCGCGGAAACTTCCCGCGGGACATTCCGCGGAAACTTTCCGCCTTCCGTGGGATGTACCGCGGCAAATTTCGGCCTTCCGCGAAATGTCCCGCGGAACGCGGAAACTTTCCGCGGAAGCTTCTTCGGGGCTTTACGGACTCTTCGCGGAAACTTTCCGCTTCCAGCGGAATGTTCCGCGGAATGTTCCGGACTGTTGGTATTTTATGGTGTATTGTTTGTGACGATGTGACGCTCACAATTTGACCTGCCTGCAGCGTTCTTCATTCGTAAAGATTCATCGGAATGAGTAACGTAACCGCATTTGCTCGTAATCGCGATCATCTTGCAGTCATTTGTGTTCTTGTCCCGGGTGGTCCGGAGTTTAGGTCCGTGTGACTTCAACCATTGTCCTACGCTTTGCTCGTGCTCTGTTTTGCGCTGGGTGCTTTCCATGGCTCCTACGTGTGTTATCGTTGGACTGGCAGAGACGATAAAGATTATTTTCTCGTGCCGCCTGGCGCTTGTTCATTGTGTACGGTTTTGTTCGTGACGATGAGACGCTCACAATTGGACCTGCCTGCAGCGTTGACGTTGGTCGTTGATGGCAACCATTCATCATAATGAGTAATGCAACCGGGTTTGCTCGTGATTTCGATCATCATCCGGTCATTTTGTTACAAGTCCCGTACGGTCCGGAGTTGAGGTCCGAGTGGCTTTGACCACCGTCCTCCTCTTCTTGGTGCTCGTTTGTACGCTGGATGCATTTCGTGGAATATATGCATGAATTCGGTGGGTTAGTAGGCATGTGCAAAGATATTTTCTTCGCGCAACTGTTGGAATTTTACAGGGTATGTCTTTGTTCGCGACGATGGGACGCTCACAAATGGACCCTCACAATATGTGGCTTTCTGCAGCAGCGGAGGTGGCGGTGCTGCTGTAGCTCGTAGACTTTGTAGTTTACCACAGAGGTTACACTGCTGTCACCGCGGTGCTGCTGTAGCTTGTAGACTCTGTAGTCTATCACAGAGGTTGGTCTACACTGCTGTGAGATCGGTAGGCCCGAGCGAGCTTCGGAAAGAGAAATGTAGGTAGATGTTCTTATCAACTGAGTCCCTGGTCAGGCTTTCATGGGTGCTAGATGAGAGTGAGTACAAGGGGCGAAGGCGCGCTTGTGTCTCAGCTCAACAACAAAAACAAAAAACAAGCAGCAAACACAGCAGGTTCCGAGGGTCTCCGGGGTATGGGCCCGAGTACCGGAATTTCGGGGTTCGAGACAATAAAACAACTACGCAGTCTCGCCTGCCAAATTATCTCCACTTCAACTCTGTGCTCATGTTCTCTGCAAGCACCATCTCTTTTTTCTGTATTATGTCTCTGGAAGGCTAACTGCCGCAGTCGCACCTATGGTAAACTGTGTCGGACTACGTTGTAACAGTTTTCCTCGACAGACCCTCCTGCTGCGTGATCGTTGGTAACCAGTCATCATCGGAATGAGTAACTTCACCGGGATTGCTAGTGATCGCAATCATCATCTGGTCAAAATTGAATTTGCCTTGTCCCGTATGGTCCAGAGTTCATGGTCCGAAATAGTTTATCCACTGTCCTACCCTTTCTCGGTGCTCTGGTCTACGCCGAGTGGTTTCCATGGGCCCTACGTATGTTACCGGTGGGCTGGCACAGACGTTACAGACCGGTGTTTTTTCGCGTACATGAAGGTTTTTGTTGTGTATGCATTTGTTCTCGAGGATGGCACGCTAACAAGCCAACCTTGCCCGCCTACTGTCGAGAAGGGGTAAAGATGGTACCAGAACAGCAACCGTTCGTCGCGGTGGTTCCCGGTACGTTACCCGTCGTTCGAATGTGCTGCGTCTAAGGCGTGCGTTTGGAGCAAAACACTCACAGCATCCGATCGCGATGACACGCATATGCTCGTGACGCTGCTGACGAGACCTTCAATTTGCGCCGCTTCTTGGAAGAGCCCGCCCCCTACTTCCCAAGAAATGGCAAGAGGCGTCTGGACCCGAAATAACAATTGTTTTGGCTCCCGCTCTCAATCGTATACTCCGCTCTCAATCAGGCGAAAACCCTGTTTCACATTGGTGTCGGTTCGTGGGCGTCCGAGTGACTGGACAATATCGACTTTCCCCCTTTGTGTTATGACACAATTGAGAGCGCTTTGCACGGATCTGGTGTGCATATTCGAGGTGCGTGTCGTAGAGTGTAAGGAAGGTTTCATGGCGCGCATGTTGGCGGTCACTTCCTTCTGTGTGTTTTCGCTTTGCGCCTGCCGGATGCTCTGGCGTACGTACCTGCAGGTCGACGAGTATGGGTTTGGGTAGCGGTTGAATCGCAGTCCGTTGCCTGGTTAATTTCGACTTGTCGGTCCGTCCTTTGTAGTGTGCCTCATGTATGGTTTCCCGATCTCGTGGAAGGCACAGAACAACATATTCGCCTGATTGAGAGCGAAGTATCTGATTGAGAGCGAGAGCCAAAAAAAATGAAATTTCGGGTCCAGACGCCTCTTGCCATTTCTTGGNNCAGTAAATCTTCTTTATTCATGTATGTCTTAGTAGAATATTCGCCCCCACCATGCATGTCCGCGAATCCCTTGATCGGATGTGTGATTCTTCGGTGTGCTAGGTTACGTAATCCGGCGACACGGGTATTGAACATTGCCATCAACCTCATCGTAGTACTCGTTGTCCTGTGTCTTTTCTACCAGAACGCCCCGGTCCGCCCCCGGATGCCGTGGCGGTATCCATATTTTCGCTTCAAATGCAGCGATGCAATCATGAAAAAGCCTATTTGATGTTGTGTTGTGGGTTGTCGTAGAATTTCTCGCGTTGTGATTCACGGCTCGGCCTCGGGGTGATGCACAATTCCTACCCTGTCCTGGTGAAATCAATCCTTCACCCAAAAATGGCAATAGCTCATTCACTAAACCGCCTTTCCTCGTCAAACAGAAGCGTGCAAGGTCCATTATTAGGCGGGAGTATTTAAGCATTGGTTCATTGTGCCTGTGCCCTTTGTGTCTGCTTTCAAGACACATCGCACCTACAGATATTTACAAGAGTAGTCGGACCTCATACCTGTCTTTGGACTAATCTCTTTCTTCGTCGACATATTTCTCGTCTAGTTGATGTTTTGATGATGTGCGCGGTGGACAGCTTTCTTCCCATTCGAGTTCGTCTTCACTTCGGAGTGCTTGTTTCACTGTTGATCTTTGAATCGAAATATTTCGAGGAAGGTACCTGTTTGTACGGCGATTCCACAGGGTAAGCGCTGAACAACATATTCGCACGATTGAGAGCGAAGTATCTGATTGAGAGCGAGATCGTGCGATACGATGTAGCTTGTCTACTGCTGAGAGGTAGAGCTTGCTGTGCGGCTTGAATTGAAGGGCTTGCCTATAGCTACAAGCCGATACCCGGGTCATCCTGCGGGTGTCTCGCGTTGTGGAGCTACACCGCGGAGCAGAAGCTACGGGAGGCCCTACCGCGCCAGGCGACGGCGCCCTGAAACAGTTTCGGGCAGGAATAGCCAATCTGGGGAAATCTAGCAACGTGCGTAGCTCCTCGCTGCTGCAGCCGATCGCAGTGACACGCATATGCACGCGAAGCTGCTGAAGAGAGCTTCAATTTGCGCCGCTTTTTGGAAGAGCCCGTCCCCTTCTTCCCGAGAAATGACGGGAGGCGTCTGGACCCGAATTTCGATTTTTTTTGGTTCTCGCTCTCAATCGGAAACTTCGCTCTCAATCGTGCGAAAACCCTGTTGCTGTCAAACTGCACGCTTCCTATCCCTGGCGATCCCTAGCAAAACCGACACACATCTTCAGACACATACTACACGACGCTGACCACTTTTCCAATGTCGTGACGCATCCACCAAGCTGTGGGGACGCCTCAACAGTGAAAAACAGTCTTAACTTCGCCAACTGCTCGATTTGTGATGTTCTCATAAAAAGGTTGTGTTCCATAAGAGTTCTCGCAGTGCGCGGCTTCGAATACGGTGGCGAGGTGTCCTTTTCGTTCTGTTCGTCTCCGCATTTAACAGTCATCTTCAGGCCGCCGTAGCCACTGGGGGGCTGAAGGCCAGCTACATCATCTACATGATGAAACGCCACAGCCGCACCCACAACTAGGCTACGGCGGCCGCCCGTCGATTAGGCGGGACGGCCACCTGGTGACATAATCACCGCGCACATATTCGTCGGGAACGACACGCGTCAACATGATGCACGAAAGAGAGAGGGTGAAAATAATTCGTAGCGATGACGCCACGTCACTGTGTCGAAAAAAAGAATGCATATGTTTGGAGTGTAGATAGGTGAAATATGAAATATGTATGATCGGGACGTCAAATAAAGCGATGAACGAAAAAAGAAAATATTCGTGCTATGGTTATCTTGTTGGCACATACGTAGTCGTTGATATTAGCATCGACGACGATACCCGTGCGATCAATATTAGCTAGAAATGAAAAGAGCTGGGATTCCGTGAGGTGGCGGACAGGAGGAGGCAAACCTGGGTGTCATGTATGGGACACAGTATAGCTCAGTATTGTAGTAGCACGTATGACTTGGTTGAAGGAAAAAGGAGTGCACACACTAACCCGTTAGCACGGATTCAGATACATATATAGCGGTGCGAAACAGTAACGCAATTTGTACAAAGGGCGCACAACAAGGGAGCAAAACAACAGGCACTAGCAGTATGGGGAAGTGAGAAAAATCGAGTAAGATTGACAAGACGAAATTTTTATGCTGGGCACGGTACAGACCGGGCCCGGAGATAAGAAACGTCAAAGTCGGGTCGAGGCTCAATTTAGTTATTCGGGCAGAAGGACAAGCAGAAGTCGGGCCAATTTCTGAAAACAGATTTCTTATACCGTTGGGCGATCGCATCTTGCTGATTCTCGTATCTTGTTTGCTTTTTTCTGGCGAAGAAATCTACACACCAGCAGCAGTGGCTGGTGGGAATGGCGCAGCCGGCGGCGGCTCTGGGGCGCTGGGGGCGCCGCGAAAACGACCCCTTTCCTCCCCTACCAATAACAAGAGAGACGAAACCGATTAACCGCGTCTGTGTCCTGTGTGCTGCGCCTCGGAAGCATGATGCACGAGGCGGGTCGTGCCCGTTTTTCTCTCTCTCTGTGCCTGCCTCTCTCTCTCTCTCTCTCTCTCTCTCTCTCTCTCTCTCTCT